CTCTGAAGAAGCTCGCCACTCGTGCTAGCGAAACGTTAGGAAGTAATTCCAATCGACGACGGCCTTTAAACCCGAATGAAGATAATAGCTTGTTTTCTTATTGATATATGGTAACGAAATTTCGTGACATGCCAAAAAAATTTGAATTTTACAAATTTTAATCATCGCTTGAGACTGCTCCTTGACAGATCCAACAAACTGGCATTCAATGATTGTGCAAATTCTGGAACTGAAAAAGCTGCCGAATTTAAAACGTTAAAAACATTTTTTTTTATTTTAATAGGATACATGCCAGAGCTTGTTGAAATGAAACTAAAGCCATTATTTAAAGATATAGTATATTATATTTCAAATAAAATTTGGTGACGATTAAAACGTTGAATATTATTAATATACTGTTACCTTAGCTCATTTTAAATTCTAGTTTTAGTTTTGAAAGTTAAAGATTATTTAAGTATCTTCTTAAGTTCTGATTATCTGTTGTTTCTAGTTAAGGGTATGAACAGTTCTTATTATTCAACAGAATAACATAACAGATATTGTTTACCTTAACATAGAGTCATTCTGGCGATTTTGGAAAAGAACATACTTTAAACTTTTTATATTATAGTCATCTACGCTAGAAAATAAAGTATGGTCCAACAATACGGCAACTCAAATTAAATAGACACAAAGAGAGTTTCTAAAATGTTATGTAGAAAGTTTCTATTCGGCTGGGGGACCGCCATCTATTTCATTAGTCGATAGCCCTAACTTACTGAGCCAACTGAATTCGCATGTACCTTTAAGGACTGTCTTTCAACTACTAACCCCAAAAAACACTTTTTTGATCACATGCCCTCTTTATCAGTTGATAAAATTATTTGTTTACCACATGTATGTACCATTATTTTATTGCCGGAAATATTATTATTATTATTATTTCTATTATGTATTGCTATAAGATTGCAGACATTTTCAAAGTGGAAAGGACAAGTTACAGAGCAAATACTGCAAGTAGCTTTAACCGAATATTAAAAATGCTGACAAAGTTTAATAACAATTACAAAAAACAAAAGAATATAGAGAGGGCTTGATATTTTTTAGTTGGAATTAAAATCAACTAACTGTTGTAAAACCAGTTTGCTCAATTCCATAATTACTTCTGTTACTGATGGATATTAAAATTGCGTAAGTTATTTATGTTTTGAGAATATTTAAACAAAAAGATCTTTTATACATCTCTTTGTGGTACTATCAGACCACCGGTTCGATGGAAATTTAGTGTGTGTATATCACCCCAAACTGTCATGTGCAGATTCGGTCGATAAAACATATTTAATCAAAGCGACCTAATTAGGAAGGGCGCACTCCATATATAAGCCTTAGACAAAAAAATTGAATTTTTTAAATACTACAGCACAAAAGCTACAAAAATTGAAATGGGATAAAACTAAAGCTAGTTTTAGCACTGATAATAAATTATGACTTTCTTCATAAAATTGTTGACTAAGCATATTGGCTTTATACTGGGCAGGTGCCTTGTCAATTTATTTGACTTCTCAAAGTATTATTTAACTGTTCAGCTACCATATAGTATTTTGAGGTTATGTTTGACTATTTTTGTTTTAGATTAATGTTTAATTGTTTATTGGAAATTTTTAACCTCCAGTCTGTAAAAGAATTAGAAAAAGAAATGCTGCCTAATATTTTTTGCTACCTTACACCGAAAGATTATGGTGACGCAGGCCAGGGCTAGATGATAAAAATAACGAGGGCTTTAAATTGGTTAGACAAGAGCCTAAAAAGAAACTTAAAGAGTTTAAACAGTTTTTAAGGATGTTAAAAGAAAGCTTTAATTAAATATTAATTCATGTGAAAGTCCGCATATTTGAAAAAATAAAACTTTTGAAGGAATGAATTTTTATTTTATTCGGCTTTAATCTATACCGGATATGCCTTTAGAAAACCTCTTCCTAGACGTGAGAGAGAGGTAAAAACATCAATATTTAATCATCTAAATTTTAGTTTATAAAATGTTTAATCAATCTGAAGTTGACTAATAATTGTCCTGACCTAATAGATGTATACTGAAGTGCTCCAAATTATTAATTTATAGAAACTCCTATTATTTAAAAGAACCCCAAACAGTTTTTAATCCTTTTCAAAATCAAAAAATCTTTTTTTGTTTTTGATTTCAAGACTTTCATAATGGCAATTGCCTCTGAAATTTGTATTTCATTCTGCTTTTTTCTTTTTCGTGCTTGCAAGTTATCAGAGATGTGTGAAACCTCAGTGGTAGAAAAACCCAAAGGTGAACTTTTGACGCAAAAATTGTCGAAAATTAGAACGTAAAGAAGTTCACGAAGAACTTGAATGAATTTTTTTGACGCGAATTTGACATTAAAGGGGTGTATTACACCCGTCAAATTTGTTCGTCAACCAGCTTCCCGAACTAATTCATGAAGAAATTGTTGATGTAAAACTAGTATAACGCATTACAAGGTAATTTTGTAGAAGATGCTTATGGCTGGATAATAATTTCATGCAAATCAACTAACCAAGGGTTAATCTCATACTTTTACCATGACTCGAGTACGAAGAACATTTTCATATAGCCCAATTTTAATAAGCTAGGAATAGTAATAGATGGTGGGGTAGAATTGTCCTTTAGACAATAAAAATGATTATTATCAACAAAGTAAAATTAGGCAAATTCCAAGAACCATGTCTACACATCAACATAGCACGCAGCTTGCTTTATCTCAATTCTGTCTCAGCAACATTCATTCTACGCTAAGTAGAATGGTGGGTCGTTTATTTTGGGACACTACCTTATCTCAGAAACTATAGGGGATGGAGCCAAAAGTAAAATACAAAAGTTAATTGAAACATTACAAGCTTTTAATTTATTTTTATATTGTATATACAGGGTGTTATGTTGAAGACAAAAGACTCGAATAACAGATTTCATAAGAAATTTCGATACATATTAATACAGGGTGCGCGAAAAATAAGATTAAAAATGAAATTAAAAAACTGCCAAAAAACTTTTTTTTTAATGGAAACTACCTATTTTTAGCATTAAAAGTTAAGGCAATTTTATATAAGGTTGTATATGCTCAATATTTGTACTTTTTCAAATATTTCCCTTTAAATATCTATCTACCACAAATAATTTGTTGTTGAAATATAAGTTCAGTTAGTGTAAGGTGGCTATGAAGGCGTTTGAACAAAATATATGCTAAAGTGCTACCACTATGATATACCATATCATAGTTGACCATAATCTTGCCGATGTGCTAATGCAGATCCAAAGACTATGTCAATGTATGTATGTATTATTTATACAGAATAAGACCAATGATACGCGATAATGTTGGTGAATATTTTATTAACGAACGATTGTTGTTCAAAATGTCCTCCACTTTGAGCAATACAAGTAGTATAAAGGATTTCTAAGTACATAATGGCATTTATAACAGATTCGGTACCATTTAAATATCCGATATCTTTTTGCATTTAAGTAGGTGCTAATTTCTTGACTTGTGTGATAAGGAGCGCCATCCTGCTAAGAAAATTAAGTTTCTTCGTTCCCTTTCAGGCACTTCATTTCCAACAATGGGATGAAATAACAAAATACTTGACCTATTATTCTGAACCTCCAAATGGCCCACCATACGTTGACAGAAGTTCTAACTGATTTTGTAACTTCCATGCCTTTTATTATTATTGGTGCTCCAGTATTGGATTTTTGGAAATTTAGTTGACGTTGTAAATATGGACTCATCTGCCCAAATAATATTAGCAAATATATTTTCTGAAAAGTGTCTTCATCAGATATTGCAAAAATATAACCTAATGTTGTAATCCCGTTGCTCTACTTTCTGCACTAGACAGAGTTTATAGGACTTCCAGTTGTTCATTTCAAGGCTCATTCGAAGCGTTGTTCTCTTGACATCTAGATCTAAAGACGCCTTTCGGATTGAATTTTCAGAGGTGTCTGCAAAATTCAACAAAATATTAATTCGTTGTTCATTATTGAAAATATGATAACGTCTATTTTTTTCTTTCTGCAAGGTTCCACATATTCTAAAGTGCTGGTAAATCCTGTCGAAGATCTTTTTTTCTGGGCGCCTCCGAAATGGAAATTTTGTTATATAATCGCTAAGAACCAGGGTCTGGTTTATATTGTTCCATATCTAACTTTCTAATATACCAATTTTTTTCCTCTGTGGTAAACATGATACGCAATCAAGCGAATAAATTAAATTTATAAACGATAAATAAATAAATCAATAATATGTCAAAAAATTTTAAAATATGACAGTAACCAACAACTAAACACGCATCCAAGGAGACAGCGTTCTAGCACTTGTTTTGGACAAACGCCGTCATAGCCACTTTACACTAACTAAACTTATATTTCAACAGCAAATTATATGTGATAGACAGACAGTTAAAAGGAAATACTTGAAAAAGTAAAAATATTAGGCATATACCCGTACAACCTTATGTAAATTTGAATCAATTTTTAATGCTAAATATGAAAAGATTATAAAAATAGGTATTTTCCATTAAAAAAAAATTTTGCCAAATATGTAACGAAGTATCTTATGAAATCTGGTATTCCAGTCTTTTGTCTACAACAAAACTTACTCAAGTGAAACAATGAATGCTTTCCAATTTTTACGTCATTTTTCACATAAAAAATGAAAAATGTCAAACATGGTTAGACTTAGGTATAAGACATTATACATCAAATATGTCTGGAATTTCGTATAGAATTCAAAAATGAAGTAATATACGAAGTGTTTAAAATGAGAACGTTGATACTCGCCCACGAAAAGTGAAACACTCTCTATATACAACATTAAAATAATTTGAAGGTTTGTAATACCCAAATAACTTTTGTAGTTAACTTTTGGCTCCATCTCCTTTAGTTTCTGAGATAAGGTAGTGTTCTTATGTTGTTAATGCTTGGAGCTAAGAGCATAAGTTGATTATTATATCACACTTACCAAACTTCTAAATCCCGGAAGAAACTCGCTCTGTCCTCTGGCCCAAAGCACCGGTATGCGAGCATGCTTCGCGGCCATGCTTACGGTGAAAGCGGCGGGAGAAGATCCAACCACGAGCACGGCAACCACATGTTTCCCTTCGAAACTGGCGCAAAGCCTTTCCAACAGCGTACCGCTAAAACTGCCATTTTCGGGCAACTCGAGGACCAACGTCTCCAGGCTGATGTTGTACGCGAACTTTCTCGAGTTTCCCGTCAAGTAATTCTGAGTAATGTTAGTCAGAGTTTTGTTGAACGCGCGACTGTAACCGTGGCCCGAGGCAGAGATAGCGATGGCGAAATAAATCTTTCCCTGAGCCGGTTTACCGAAATCCCTGTCATATTTGATGTGCTCGTACGCTTCGACGCCGGCCAGAAACAACATGTATTGTAACAGGACTATTTTAAGAAGTACGGCGGCAAATTTTAACATTTTAGTGGGTTCGAAAGGTATAGCGGGAACGTTCGAACGGAGCGGCTTACGGAAATTCATTTACGCGAAGCTCGGACGACGCAGAAGACATTATGGTGTCCAAGTCGATTATTAGAATTAGTTTTTTGGACATGTTAGAACGGGAATATTATTGCTTGGGTTGGGTTAAGGCGTGGTTGTTTGAATTTTACTCGGTTGAATTTGGGCTTGCGCAGTTTGCATGGTATCATGTTCCCGACAGTTGACGTGTCCCCGGAGACATCTGGAAAGAAATTTACCAGTTAGAGAGGTCCAAAAAACACCAATAATATATTCAGATTGAGTATTGGGTTGTATACTTACCATTTTTTCTGTTTACTCTTTTTATAAATTTATTATTTGTATTCTTGGGACCAGTGCTTTACGCACTGTTTAAAGAATTCTCAATTAATTTTTTGTTACTTATGGTAATTTTTTTTGTTGATTAATAAAACATCTACTTCTCTGCCAAATAACTTGCAGACTTTACATTACAACACCTGAGCAGATGGTATTTTACGACCGAATATCAGGGACGGACTTGACAACAATAAACTGTAAAAAGCACACTGAAAATAGCATTTTTACAACAATGGAAATGATACAAGTTTATTTTGTAAGATATAAACCTGATCTCGTTACAAAACCAAAAATTTAATTTAACAAAAATAGAACTATAAATATGTGAAAATTATGTACTATTAGATTGGCAGTACATTAATACACACTAATATCATTACTTTTTTTTCTTTTCTTGATCAGCATTTCTTTTAGAAATGTATCTTTGTTATCTTTTCTTGTGTTTATTGTTTTAAAGAATGATCAGCATATTAGTTTGATAAAAATTTTACTTTTCTTTCAGATTTTAAAAATATATTATATAGCAATATATTATAAATAAATTGAGTCTACTGTCAGACTTATTTTATATCATACGAGAGAAAACCATCATTTAATGAAAGTTCAGGAAACTAATTTACAATATAAACGTTTGCGATCAGTACTATCTAATACCCACTTTCACAATCAGCAGACCCTTTATTAAAGAACGACATTTTGTTGTATAACAAAAAATAAATCATTCAATCCTCTTGCATGCTCCATTTACGGGCACACTGTATACATGCGTATTAATTTAACAATGTACTCTTAAAATACGTTGTAACTGTCATTTTCAAATTTAAAAAGTATTATCTCAAATTTTGTTTAATATTAACTTGCAAATTAGCAAGCATCGTGTGAAATAGTGCTCCATTTTTACAAAACTATTTTGCAGATTCAACTGCAGTAATTCAAAGCTCTACAGGTTTTTTCGTGGTATTTTGATTAACCGACAGTAAATATTAGATACCATTAAGTGCATTAGTTACTATTCCATTTTCTGGGTACGCCATTGGAAAATATATTTTTTTCGATTTTTACGAATGAAAATTGATTGAAAAACTGCTATTATAAAAATTTCATATTTTGTAAAATAAATAAGATACACATTATTTGAGATATTTTTTAAGCCAACGTATTTTTTTTTCTCAAGGATATTTTTAAAGAGGATTCTGTTAACTTTTTAAAATCGTGTTCTAACTTATGTCATATAAAAACAGAAGAAGACATTGTTACAGATTAAGTTGTTTTGTCAACAATTCTTTGGTGTGTCAAGATACTCAAAGAAGTAGAATAATGTTGACCCGTGACATTTAGTACGGAATTTTTAACGTCGGTAGTGCTACTTCAAAATGCACGTTAGGAGGAACTTTTCAGGTGTTATAAAAATATAAATAATAAATAAGACACTATATTTTTTATGTTTCATACCATCACTATTCATAATCATCTAAATAAGTACATTTTTTTTCAAAATCTAATTATGTTTCATTCTCAGAATCGTCATTAAGATTAATTACAATGGTTTACTTTATATGAAAAGATAGGAATCTACAATTTTTAAAATGTCCCGTAATGCATTTCTCCAGCTCTGAAAAATTATGTTATTTCTTATATGAACTTTTTGATTTGACTAAGCCTGTTAGGAGAATTAGTTTCCTTATTTATTAGTGGTATCAGTTTCCCACAGTCGACATTGTCCATGAAACATATTTCAAGCTTTTAAATTAATTAACGAAGTGGCCCTTGTGGCACTAAAGTCACCCGCATATTCACAAACTGATAAGAATGCGTTCTGAAACCAAGCATTTCCAAGTTTCCTTTATAGCATAAATTGTTCCGCTGCAATGACTTCTCAAATTACCTCGTGACGAAATTTGCTACGCAAACAATGAGAGCAATTTCAATTTCTAAAAAGTTGTTTTTTTAGTATAGTGTGGTTCAAAATATATCGTCTTGACTGCCAACGGCTATAAAAGACCTGACCGGTCGGTATGATACGACAGCGCACCATGGGCGGACTGAAGAGGTTTTTCAAAAATATAATTAATCAATATCATATTATATTTATAGCAATACAATAAAATCACATTCGGTGCTAATAGAAATTTCGATAACACTAAATATAAAAATAAATTAAAAATAATTAAGTTATGTTTTTATTCAAAATATAATTCTGTATCACTCTGAGAGACATCAGAAAGATTTATTTCCAAAGGCTCTCTGTTATTTTATATACTTCAATTTTGAATATGTGCAGTACTGCATTTTTGCAGCGCTCAACAGGTAAACTAATTATTACAGATTTATTAACGTTATATTTTATTAAACACTGCTATATGAGTTACAGCAACAAGTGAAAAAAAATTGCCTATATTTGTTCAAGAAATTTTACTATAATATGTTTTAACTGTAATATTGATTTGCCATGTTCGGAGAATCAATTTCATTATTTATTGAAGGTATCATGTTGCCGACAGTCGACGTCTCCCCGGAGACATCTGAAAAGAATTTTGCCAGAAAAATAACAACGAGAAGATACTCCGAACAATTCGTTATAAAAGGAATTATTATTATTTTATTATGACATTGACCACGAAACATATTTCAAACTTATTAATTAATTAACAAAGTCGCAATTGTGGCATTGAACCCATAAGCCATATTCAAAAATTGACGATAGAATCCATTCTGAAACAAAGCAATTTTAGTTTTCTCTGGATGTACGCTTCAAGTGCCGTGTCCGTCATCGAACGTTGGCTATCAGATTGGATATTCTTCTGCGACCTGGCATTCTTCTTCCTTCCGTCTTGCCCTGCATAATTAAGTGGAGAGCATTATAGCGCTCAGGATGTTTCATAGTTGAAACCAAAAGAACTTCGAACTTACATTGTCTCTGTTTGATTTAAATACACACACATGAATGTAAGATTTTCGTCTGAGTGAGTTGGGTGCAACCAACCATGAAGTTCTTATCCAAATAAACGGCATTCCATGCTTGTTTTGCTGAATGCTTTGTTCCAGTTTGACCAAACATATTCGAAAGTGTATTGTGTTATTTATTTATATATTTAGACCATGTGAAATCTCCATATTTTGTCCATCCTTGTTTCCTGCATCCTTCGACTCACTTAGAGGACTTCAATGTTGACTACATCACAACTTGATAACAGATGCTCGGACCAACATATAAACGCAATTGTCGGAAAAGCTGTGAAATTAAGACAATGGAAGTTCGAACAATGGCATGTTGTTGAATTTCATTTATTTATTGAAACTTTTTTCGCTATTGGATAAATGAACGTTTAATTATTGTGGTGAGTCATTGCTATTTAATAATTGACTTCTAGTTTTAATATCGTCACAAATGAGGTCCTCGAGTTCTGCCCCACTAACGCCGCATTATTTTCGTCGCTTCATTATTCTTTCACGCAATTCTTTTGTGGAGATAAATTTGATAAATAAACTAATGAAAGGCATGTTTTCGTGTTATTTTTCAATAATAAAACTTTAATAGTATGAATATTTAAGCAAGTGATTTTAGCTTCGGTAATGCTTCATAGTTTTATTATATATAATAATTTTGATGATTTTTCTTTGATTGCTATAATAGGTGTTATATCAAATGCTATAATACATGCTATATCACAAAATTTTATCATTAATCGTTTTTCATTTTATTTTATTATTATTTATTTAGGTATATACGCGACAAAACACTGCGTCACCCCACACAGAATTTTATTATTTGAATATTTATTATGAATAACGTATTGAAATAATTATTTTATTCCGTTTTCAAATAACATTAAAAGATATTTTATTTCGATTAATGACAATGTGTTAATTTCTAATTCATAGCTTACTCATTTTTAATGAACTGGTTTTGTGGTTTCATCGAGATAAATATAGTAAACTTTTTAGATTTGAAATTATTATTCGTAATTGTCCAAAAACCCAGAATCCAAAATGTCATATCGATATTTTGAAAACTACTAGATCAATAAAGAATTGTCATATAAATCTTGAAAACCGAAAGAAAACAACAAAATGATAAACATTTTCGACATAAAAAATATTTTCACCTCATATTGATGCCAAATTTTATTTATATATATGTATACAATTTACATATTATTTATATATGTATACAAATATAGGTAGCATAGGCATTTATTTATTAATTCCTCTGAAGACAACGTACACACAATGCCATTATGGGATCGTCAACTTAGGAAACTTAGTACCTAATTTAACAAACAAAATGTTACACAGTGACACATATATAAAATAATACTAAAATAATTAAAAAACAAATTAAGAAATGTATATTTTGAAGATCAAACCCAATCAAACATTATTTTATATTTTCATCGTTAAAAATTCTTCCACTGAGGTAGGTATTGGTAATGTTATATTCATGACTTTCGCATGTCTTACTGATTTTTGTAGTGATCTTTTGCGAAAATTATCAAAGAATAGATATATTTTGTATTTTCTTAAAACATTCTCTATAAAAGAGCTTCCCCAAAACAGTACCCCGGAAGAGATAGTATAAGTATAGTAACAGATAAGTATAAGACCAACATATATTAATTTCAAAATATCTATGTCTCTGTGTCTGCCATATAGTCAATATGAGTAGCCCATGACCAATAAATAATCCAAGAAATTTTGTTGTTTGTTTTTAAGCTTTTTTATCAGTTTTTAATAGAATTCTGGAATTCATTATTCCATTTTTGGCGACAGACTCCATTGCCAGTGATTAATTGGTATTTAATGTGATACCGATGGCCATTCACCAAATTAACTTTATTTTTATGGCTGATTTTCCCTTTGTTTCAATGTCGTGCTTTGATTTTC